TTCTAGCTTAACATTTACTGATTATGTCTTAGTGTTTTTATGTTAGGTCTCCAAATTCAAATCTCTCTGCAGGATACAGTTCTTATAATTAAGATCATTATGCATGAACTTAGGAAGGCACCACTCAAACACTTCTGTGTTAAGCAATTTAAATTTCTAAACAAAAACATAACACTCTAATATGCGAACTCTTATGCTTGTAATTGTCAACACAGTACTCCTGGAGATGTTTTCCTCATTGATCCGTACATTCAACCCTCAATGATTACGTTTGTTAAACTGGGTAACAGAACAATCGATAAATTCCTCAGAGTAACGCAAGCATATACGGCGATAGGAAACGGTCCTTAATATGAATGTAACAACATTCATACAAACAGTAATGAAGGAACCTGTTCCTAAAGCAAGAGTAGTTATCAATTAATTAATTGGCAAGATTATGCGATTAACGAAAACGAATGACTAAAATACTTCTAACAATCGTATGCATGTAACTCGACGGGCAGCAATGCTTTTCATGATCAGTTGATATTTGACGCACTTTATCATTAGTCTTCTTATTATTAGTCCGAGTATGTGTTTATGTGTGGGTGTGGTTTGTCTTCTTGATCAATTCTTTGCGTTAAGCAGACGCCGAGGTTGGGCATCCCTTTTATCAAAATTAGTTTGTTCCCTGCGGAGCGGTGAGGGTGTGAGGGTGGGCGTGTCATGCAAACGGCTTCGTTGCTCTCTCTTGCTCGGGGGCGGCCGCAGTTTCTGTCCACTGCTGGTTGGAAGAGACGGCACGACACTCGCCGTCGGTGCGCGATGATCCCGTCGTCAGATAGCGCCCGCAGCTCGTCCGCTGGTCGCCGTTCCTCACTCTTGTCTTGGTTCCCAGCTGGTGCTTGTCGATGTGTGTGTGGGTCGAACCCACGGCGCTCTCGCTGGCGCTGACTCTCTTGCTCACTGGCGGCTGGTCAGGCTCTTTCCCCTGCTCCGTGCTCTCTCTTTGATCGTGCAGCTGTCAGCTTCACACGTACACCCGCCCTTACTTCAGGGCTGCGCTGGCTCAAGCTCTTTCCACTGCTCCAGTCTCTCTCCTTTGGCGGGCAGCTACCAGCTTCACACGGACACCCGCCCTTACTTCAGGGCTGCGCTGGCTCAGGCTCTTTCCACTGCTCCAGTCTTTCTCCTTTGGCGTGCAGCTGCCAGCTTCGCGCTGGCATTCAGTAATACCTCTCCCACCCTTCCTTCAGGGCTTCACCTTTGCTTTGCTCAACTTCCGTGCTCTCCGCCCTTCCTCCAAGAGGGATCTTGCTGTGCGCTGCTTGTCGCTGGCTGGGTCACTCACTCTCAAAACTTTCACCACTCTGATAGCTTAGTGCAATACAACTTATCGCAATCCTTGACTCTGCAAGCGACTTAAAACATCAGGATAAATGTATAATAAAACTTTCAGCGATACTCTGTCGGTCCATGCCGAACTCAGCAACGAACATCACCTCGCCCCTCTTCTCTGCGAGACACGACACCCATTGCTAATGTCGAGGCCATGCCCCGGAGCCTGCCCATCGCAGGACTCTCCGTCGCTTGGCGTAGCTCTCAACTCGCATGATCTGTATCCGTGCTTAATTGTGAAATTATCTCTCCTCTCTCCGTGTCTCTTGCGAGAGAGAAAAAAACATGCCCACTGTCACCGTCCTCCTCCCGTGGCAGCCGCCTGGTTGCCCCCCCCCCCCCCCTTTTTGACCTTTGACTGGCTGTTTTCGATCACCATGTTTATGTTTTTGCTTGCATTCCCCCCTTCGTAGTGTCTGCTAAATTAACGGGAGGCACTCCCCCTTCATACATATTTATTATTATTGTTATCATGTGTTGTGTCACATTGTTGGAAGACAAAGGCGACCGGGGAGGCTCTGATTCCATGGAATACATATTATCTGGTCTTGTGTGTTTGACCTATTTTCCTGTATCGCGTATAAGTTACCCCTGGTCAAATATCTCATGATTAATATTTGGTTTATGTTTAACCAAGATTCGTAATGCCCCTCGTTGTTACCACCAGTATTTCAAGGGTTTTATTAACTTTTGTTCCCTGTCTGTATCCAGGCATCCGTGCTTTTTATTCACGAGGTCAGAGATATAGCTTAGTTTGGACTTAAGCTTTCGTGATTGCAGGAACTCATGTACTTTGGTTATCTTGGTAAAGTTACGTAGATAGAAAGATACAATAAGAAATAAAATAAGGACTACTGCAGTATATAATGTCGACTTATTCTTATAACCAAGCTTCAACTTTTTCCGTATATAAAATATATATCAGTTATAATGTCCGTTTGCCCTGTGCTCTGTGTCCGTGTTTGTGAGCTATCCAAAACGTCTGGGGAGGTCATGACATGTGGTCCTTTGACAATCTGGAGATTTTGCAGATCGTCGTGAACCTCCCTTTGCCCCGGAGTTTATAATTTAATGGCTCTTTATGGCATCCTCCCTCGAGTTGCTTTTAATGCGGTAAGGCAGCTGGGTGTGAGGGGTGGGGTGTGCCTCACCCTTTCATGCCCCATGCGCGCCCCGATCAATAGAATAAATTGGCAGAATTATTCATCTTATTTTTTGGAAAAAGGCCTATATATACAATAGGGCACAGGTGGTGCTTCAGCCAGTTGTCTCAGTCAGTCAACCTGTGGCATCTGGGTCTGCCCCGTGACCTCCTGCCAATGGAAGTGCAACACTTCACGTGGCCTCAGGTGCACATAGCCTGGCACAAGCATCGTGGTGACATCACCGCCACTTAGTGGCGAATGGCAGTCGTTGTTGGTTGTTGTTGGGCCGTCGTTATTGGTTTGTCCATCTGTCTCGGTTGAAGCTGTTTGGTTCTCCGTGGGTTGCCTCTTCATTTCTTTCCAAAAATTGGTCTGCCGTTGTCTGGTGTGTCCGACGAGCGGGGATAGTGCAGGCGGAGGGCATACGTCAGAAGGATTGTGTCATGCCGCCCACAGCGTCCGAGCCTGTGAAAGTGGCGGACCGGGGCTCGGGTTCATGTGTGGGTTCTTGGGTCCGAACTGCGTCACTGCTCGCCATGATCTCTCTCCCTCATCTGGCCATGCGGAAGATCTCCTGCGGGGTTTCCATCGCCATCCTCGTCACGCCGTCAACCAGCGGTGTAGCCCAGTGAGGGCGGTGGGACCACGCCAACTGATCGGCTGTGTGTTGCTAGTAGAGACGTTAATCTAAGCATTGTACTCAGTGTGAGACGGATAAGGTTGGGCTGTGTTGTGCCCGTGTGTTAAATAAAAGAAGTACCCTCAACACGACGTGCCACGGAAGTCGCTCATTACATGTGTAGTGAGTTCAACTGAGTCGCTGACAAACTCTTTGGAGGCAACACATTTAATAATACCAACACGAAGGGGTAACTGCCCCTTAACCAGATAATAAGTGATGGTGGTGAACCACCAGGCTAACTACACTAATTACACCATAACTAGCTACGACAAACCGGACCACAGCTTGGGTCCCCGTCCACGTGTTGGTGACTCTGTAGGACGTAGAATGTAGAACGTAGATTCTTCAGGATGAATAGCAGCAGCCGGTCCCTCTCTTGGGACCCGGCTGATATCCTCTGTGGCGTGGCTGGCTCCGCCCTTAGCCACGACCACCTTCTAGAATCCTCGAGCAGGATCTCGACCCTGACACGTGACCACCCCATGCCCCCACTTGGGGGCCCTGTTTAGACTTTACCGGTCACGTGTCCTTCGGGGTCAACCAGAGTGCCATGGCCCCTAGTAACCCCATTCCCAAGGCCAGCACTCTCACACCCTATCCTGTAGGGGTCGGCAGAGCGTGGTGCCATCCAGCACTGCCAGTCAGCGCTCACCGAGCCCCTCTAGGGCTGGTACTACATCCACATATACATGTGTAGTGGGTTCACGGAACACGGAGACGGTGGAGTAGAGGCAGCACTATTTATTCAAGCTTGGCAGAGTTACACTGAGAAGGAGTAACGGCCCCTTCACCCGTACAAACACTGGGACACCCTCAAAGGCTAACAGCCTAACCACTATGCTCCCAGTTCCTCTGCTACAGGCGCTAGAGGAGGCTATCTGACCTGGCCCTGGTCATGGCACAGGTCACGGCACCCCACCAGACAGACTGATCCTTAAAAGGGCTCCGGCTCTGAGGCTCTGGAGCCGCACCACTGGCTTGCCCTGCCGGCCCTGAAAAGGGCAGCGGTCAGGGGAGTTCCAGGGTCTATCTAGCTGGCCTTCCTTCTTCACTGGTTCTTCACTCTTGGCTTACCCCCAAACACTCTGCCCCGAGCTCTCTGACTCCCCGCCCTTTATACCAATACACCACTGAGGGGCGGGGCTATAGCGGACGTGGTTGTAGCCACCACTATGTGACCGTGTGTTCCCTTCCCGCAACACCCCTACATATGGTGCCCGTGATGTCAATACATCGCACACCGTGCCTCTCTAGGGCTGCCATTACACAGTGACATCCGTCATGTCACTACACATGCATTACTTGCTGCTCAGTCTCCGGACCCTGTCACGTGACTTCCCCTTCATGCTCCTGCTGGGAGCTGTGTATGCTGTTTGCTGCTGTGTGTACTGGAATGTGCTGTATGTGCTGCATGTGCTGTGTATGTTGATGTGAGCTGCATGTGCTGTGTGTGCTGCATGTATGTGCTGTGCATGCTGTGCTGCATTTGCTGTTGTGAGCTGCCTGTGCGTTGTGCTGTGTTTCCTGCATGTGCTGTGTGTGCTGTGTTCTGAGTGTGTTGCTACTGATGTGTATATAGTGTGCTCTGTGCCCTGCTGTGTGTTGCTTGTGTTGTGTGTGTTTGCTGCATGTGTTGCGTGTGCTGCTGTGTGTGCTCGCTAACAGAACTTGCAGTAACATTCTGTTAAGGCTACACGGGAGATTTCTGTCTGTGTCTTTGCTATTGTTGCTGCATATAAGTGCTTTCTGAACTGTGTCTGCTGCATGTGCTGCGTGTATTGTGTGTGCTGCAGGAACCATCTCCCTGATGGCAGACATGGTGAACCGGCCCTCATACAAGAACTACACGGCAATTGAGAACATCCTATGCATGACCACAGGGATAATAGAGACTGTCACCCTGATCTCCATCACGGCCGGCATCCGCAGGAAGGTGAGGAGGCCTCGCACTCCGTGCCGCTGGCTCCTGGCCAGGTGACAGCGGCCGCTGTGCCGATGGCTCCAGGGGAGAGCCCCTTGGGGCAGCGTGGCTCTTGTAGAGAATGAGGGTGACAGGGGGTGGGGGCGGTGGGGACGAGGGGAGCGTCGCACATCGCGGAGCGGGCAGCTGTGCCCAGAAACCAACGATGACAACACCAGAGCAGGCAGTGCGAGGGTCTCTCCATACGCACAACACTCACGGGGGTAGCGCGACGACCAGTGCAGGTGATTGACTCAATAATTATATACTCTCATTGAATACAACCTGAGAAATAATTATGTGTGAATTAAAAAATATATTTTGTTATAATTGGTTATCATATACTTGCGAGTGCATGTAGAGCATAACATGGATGCAGGATAATGCATTGTGCTGCTTTTGATGCTTGGATAGACACGTCTACAGGTACACTTACGTTTACACAGCATCACAGCGTTCATACACATCTGGTTGCTGGGCTGAACCTGATCCCCGCGTGGTTGGTGTGGCTGCTGTGAACATCCCAGATGCTCTACTCTGTGAGTCACTCCATGTGACTGGGTAGAGTGACTGTCCAGATTATCACAGATAGGAGATCTGTGTGTGTACTGTGTTTAGAAGAGATATTCAGTTGTTTAGATAATATATTACTCTGTTTAGATGAGAGATTACTTTTTAAAGATGAGAGGATACTGTTTTTAGAAAGAAGATTACTTTGTTTATAATTAAGATGATTTTGATTAGATAGGGATTACTTTGTTTAGATGGGGAATAATTTTATTAGATAAGCTATTTATTTGTTTAGATGGATGATTACTTTGTTTAGATGGAGGATTACTTTGATTAGATGGAGAATTACTTTATTTAAATGAGGGATTACTTTGTTTAGATAAGATATTACTTTGTTTAGATGGATTACTTTGATTAGATGAGAGATTACTTGGTTTGGATAAGATATTACTTTGTTTAGATGGCGGTAACACATTCCCCAGATGGAACAGATGTAAATGAATCCACTTGTACTGCCATCTCCTGGCAAGCCACGAGGTGGGTGCCTGGCTCGCGTGGGATTTTTACAAATTTATGCGATCTGCCAACCCTCGCCTCCACAGCGCTGGGTCATGGAGCACAGAACCCCCGAGGCTATGTGGGGTCACTAGCGAGAAATGTTCAGAGTCGGACCGTGATGCCGGCTTGCATCACCGCTGGTTTTTAATCGCGGATCTTTAACGTCCGCCGTGAAGCAGGCTGCGTGCACTTTTGGTGAATCCCCTCACGGTATTAACCAGGGCGGCCCTTGGGATCAAACCCCGAGCCTCCGCACGAAGTGGCGACCGGGCCGCTGCCGGGCCGCCGCCGGGCCCCGTCAGCCCCCTCGCTGTGAGTGGCTGTCACTCAGCACAGCGCACAGCTGGGAGAGTCTCTGTGGGGATTCGGTGGGGTGGTTGGGGGCTCGGTTGGTCTGGGCCCCCCTCAAGTAACATCGGGGGAGCCCAACGGCACCAAACGGCTCCTCTAGCTGAGCAGAGCTGGGCTCAGCGACACAGGAGATGAGTCTACGCAGCTTCACAGCTTCTAGCAGCACAGCGAGTTTATTAGCTGTGCACTTCAAATATACATAAAATAACAAGCATATATTTTCGATTTAAAGCTTTCGTGGATAGCCTCATATACAAACACAGAGACAATTTCAACCGAGAAGATGGATTCTGGCTTAGCAATCATTGGAAGGATGTGATAAACCATTTCGTGTCTTGATTGATTGTGTTCACGCTCACGGTGACTTTCAGACCACATTCCATTCTCCTTCTCTCCCCCTTTCTCTGTTCTGAGCATAGATGGACTCGTCCATCTCAACAACCACTAGTCGCTGTCCGTGGTGCGGTTTTTTCACGTTAAGAAAAAAACGCCACTTTTTTCAAAATGTTCTTGCTGTGGTTTTCACACCTGATGATGATTGCTTGTGTTGCAATCGAAACGTCGTGATAATTGTATTGTTTTAATTTATTCTTTTATTATTTCCCTTCTACGTGACTTTACCGAAAGAACCAAGAATATGAATCCCTGCAGTCACGAAAGCTTTAAATCGAAATTTAACCGCCTCTACGGGGAGGGTTTCCACATAGCTTTGAGATCCTTCAACAAACTTCGGGATAAGAAGGCTCAGCTGATCGAGTCTATCACGTTTTTGAAGAGATGGGGTAATACCAATCGCATTTACACTCACCTCTACTGCTGTAACTTATTCTAATGCGAAACGATTTATGTCTAGAACTACAGTAGCTTAGCTCTAATCTCAGAGAAAATCTGACTTATACGCACCGAACTAGATCAGTTAGACAAGACACTCTTCAAATCACACTTATAATTGACGGCAACAATGTCCACATCGGATTGGGAACATGTAGACAATATGACTGCCTCTTCAGCTAACACTATGTCGACCAAATGTAAGGACAACTTGATTTCCAAATTTAACCTCCTCTCCAACAAAAGACTGGACCCACAAACCAAAAAGCTAGACGTTAACAAAATCGTAATTAATCGCAGTTGCAGTTCTGTTTCCGATGGTCTGATATCCGTTTTAGCTAAAGAGCTAAACTTTGCAGTCACACCTAGACACATACCAGTTAATGATGTCATTGCCCAAGTAGATGTGGCTCTCAAGGGCCTGGGTCACATTGCTGCAGACGTAGTGAGATCTAAAACGCTGCAACCCTAAAAAACGCTGAGATGCCAGCTAGCAATGCCACAGTCATGGATAAAATAGAATATAACAACAAAATTCAAGAACTACTCAACGATGGCAGCTATACAAAAATAAAACAGCCTCGTCATAAAAACCAACAAAATCATTTCTGATTCAACCGCATTTATTGATTAAACCAAACAGTTATCGTTGAAACCTTCTGCTACCAGGCCACCAAGATTATACAGTTTACCAAAGATGTATAAAGAAGATACACCCCTTCCTCCCTTCGTCTCTACTATCAACTCTCCCACCTACAAACTGGCGCGTTTTTTGTCTGAAATTCTGCGGCCTTTCACTGGAAAAACCACCTCTGCGGTACTAAACTCTACTCACCTGGTATCGACAATGAAGGGTATTTCTCTGCCCCCAGCTACGGCAGAACGAATTCTTCTGCCGTAGCTGATCACTGTTACAACACTGCGGGTGATCACGATATACTTTTCTCCGATACCAAGGTTCTTTGCAAACCCACGGGTTTTTATCAGAGATTTTTTCACGAGGCAATTCAGATTTACAAACACAGACACAATTTCAACCGAAAAGATGGTTTCATATTAAGCAACCATTGGAAAGATGTTCTAAATCGTACCAAACATTAAACTAATTTTCAATGGTACAGTATATTTTTTCAAGTAGTGGTATCCCAAACTTTCGCAGCTGCTTAAATTCCCTTTTCACACCATCAATATGTAACCTCCCCCTCCCCCCCTCGCCGGTCTGCACATGTTCACCTCCCCTACACCGTTCACCATGCTAAGTCCGCCAATTGAATGCTAATTTTTATGCTAATTCCTTTGTCAAGGCACCTTAATTCCTCTCACACAAGCTTAAAGGTCGCGGTCTGAGCTTGGCTGTGTTCACTACAGCGCTGTCCTCGAGACAGTCTGGTCGATTCACCTGATGAAGGCCACTTGTGTTGTGGCCGAAACGTCGTGAATTTTTGTTTTTGTTTTATACTTTTACGTGACTTTACCGAATAGAACCAAAGAGTATAGTTTTGATGTGGTTTCCTTATTCACCAAAGGTCCTGTACCTGACACCATCGCAATCATTGAAGACTTGGTTCATCAAGGACTGAACACTGAGGTACCCCCCCTGGTGAAATACTGTATAACCAATACATACTTCACCTGGAATGGAACTTTCTACTAACAAACTGAGGGCACCCCAATGCCCCCCCCCCCCCATCTCCGGTTGTAGCCAACGTTTTCATGGAGAAATTTGAGACTGACGCCATCCAGACTGCCACTCTACGCCCAACCTTATGGAAGGGGTATATGGATGACACTTTTGGCATCTGGCCACATGGCCAGCCTGCTCTAGATCAATTCCTCGACCACATCAATTCCATACACCCAGCCATCAGATTTACCATGGAAGTCGAAAAAGATGGCAAGCTGCCTTTTTTGGATGTCCTAATAAAAAAGAGACCTGATGGTTCAATGAGCCACTCTGTCTACAGGAAAGCTGCCCATACGGATCCTTACATAAAACCGGATTCCCACCACCATCCATCCCAGAAGAATTCCCTCATCAAGACTCTACACCATAGAGCCCAATGCATCTCCGACCAGGAACACATTGCCAGTGAACTCAAGCACGTACACCGAGCTCTCAAGGCTAATAGTTACTCTGACTATACAATCGGCAAAGCCATCACTCGACCCATCAAGAAGGATCCTCTTGAGGAGCCATTCAAAACCATCACCTTACCCTACATTGCAGGAGTCACAAAAAATATCTCCAAAATCCTGAATAAACATAAGATCCAGGTCCAATTCAACACAGTACATAAAATCCGTGAGCTGGTCCCGTCTGTAAAATATGTGATTGAATACATACAGTACCCTGGCATCTACAAACTAAGTTGCCTCTGTGGTAGCAGTTACATTGTAGAAACCAAACGACATGTCTCAGACCGCATCTGTGAACACAAAGCAGACCTAAAACACGGTAGAACCAACACCTCAGCCGTGGCAGACCACTGTTATAATTCAGTGGGCTCACATGACATTGACTTCTTCAAGACGGAGGTTCTCTGCAAACCATCCGGCTACCATGAGAGATTCGTTCATGAGGCTATCCACATATACAAACAGAGACAATATCAACCGAGAAGATGGATTATGGCTTAGCAATCATTGGAAGGATGTGATAAACCATTTCGGGTCTTGATTGATTGTGTTCACGCTTACGGTGACTTTCAGACCGCATTCCATTC